ATAACTGTTTCTGAAAAAAAATCATTTTTGCATAGAATCTATTATCCAAATTATTTAAAATATACTCCTTTAATATTTCCCTAAAAAAACACACTTTCTTCAGTGAAAAATAGTATACACTTTCCATTAATAGGATATCAAAACCTGCAAAAATATAGAAGAATGATGCTTATTTTAAATAAATATATTTCTCGAGGGACTATTCCTCATCACCCGCCAGCTAAATCCTTCTTGTGCTTAAGCCTGACATACTTATTACTGGCCCCAGCATATTTTATCAGAATATTATAAATATCCAAGGCACTGGAACCTTGAGAGAGATGTTTAAATAAAGTACAGTGATGCCACAATGAAGGCCCCCACTCATTCACAGGCAGCATGACCACAAAGTGCAGTCCCAATAATGCCCTACCAATGACCTCCATGCTGACCTGCAGAGACCACTGTCTCAAGGGGTGACAGACAATTTAGTCCTTTATCCTTTTGTCATTGAAAACGACTCCACTGCCATAAATTCTAATCAAGTCAAACTGGATGGCAATTTAAAAAAAAAAATCTTATCATGCATGTTTCTATGAGAAAGATCACAGAAAGGAAAGGGGAAAATTTTTTTTTCCGCTATAGATAATACATTTTCTAGCAAGGGAAGAAGCACTGACCCAACTTTCAACCCTTTCCCGAAAGTTCAGAGATAAATGATATTGAAAAAACCCACACTTACGAGTATCATTATATGCGATTTCTGTTAACCTAGAAAAACACAGTATCAGAAAAGAAAACCAACTGTCACTCTATACCTCGGGTACAATGCCTATAACTGGTTTTTTGTTTACATCTCAGGGCTTGTGAGCTGTGTACCCCACTCCCATACAGCGTGGCACCGCTGAGCAGCGAGCCACAGACTAGCCCAGCCATCCGAGGTAGTTGGGACTTTAAGAAAAGCAATCAGGAGGTTTATCTTGAAACAATAAAAATATTCCCAGGAGGAACACTGTTAATAAATCATCTTTCGAATTTCAAATATATATGGGAGAAAATATTTAGGGCCTGTTTTTATGCGGTCTCACTTCTTCAGCTGAGACTGCATGGGCAAACTTTAGTACAGATATTTTTCCGGGGATATATATTACTTTTATACTTTCTGTGGTCATCTCCCTGGCCAAGTTGTTGATGCTCTACCATTTGAATTTTAGAATCCAACTTGACTGAATGTGGAACACTGAATTCTTGATGAGCATAACTAAAAATGAAGCACCACATTGACACGGTGCTATAAATGTCACTAGAGAAACACAGCAACCTTTTCCCTTTGAGATTGTTTGCCAAGGGCCAGTTTTGAGAATGGTTTCAAATATGTACATCACTGGGCACATATGAAATGGCTGGCCCCGCGTGGCATCGCTCATTTGATCATGCAGCTGAAACACAGCGAGACACGGAGCCAAATTCTCTGCTAATACCCCCTGACATGCAAGTCTGTTCTCCTCCATACTCTTTTCCACAGCTCAGAGCTTAGCATAAAACAGTCACAGACCGAGAGAGGAGATGGTTATTCCAACAGGCTTTACCAGGATAAATAATGTACCACTTAATGATATCACAGAGAACGACCCAACCACACGTTTCTCAATGAAATGTGGATTCATCTCTCCTAAGTGTACTTGAGTCTCCCTAGCTGTTCAAGTTAAGCAAAATGTTACCTCTGATGTAATTACTTTATAAAACACAAGGGCCCTTTTCTGAACTTTCTACTGAGGCTGGCATATGGCTTCTGGTTTCTCCTTCTGGTATTCTGAGTTGCACAGAGCACTGAAGCATTCTGCACAGTATGTTTCCCTTTGGATGCTGTTAAGTGCAGAGGTGCAATTTAAGGAGAGGCATAAAAGACCCAATGGTTCCTGGAATTTCCTTTGTTTATCCATAGAGGGCATCAGTATTAGCCTTTCTCCTGCAGTTTCAGGCCGAGGTGCCCATACTGTGACAGAAACAGACTTGTCCTCTGGACTGCTAATTTCAACAAGACACAGAAGGGGGAATAAGCTCCAAAGAAATCTCTCAATACTGAAATTTCAAGTACAGTAAAAAAAAAAAAAAAAAAAAAACAACAACAACAACAAAAACCTAAGCCTTTCTTGTCTTCTGTTGTTGGTAAACATCTCCCCACAAAAGTAAACATACCAAGATGCACATGATTTGTCTCAATCTGCTCCTTTCATTACGGAAGCCCAGTTTTCAAGAACGCAATGCGCGTGCTATGAGAATGATGGTTTGAGAGAGTATGTTAGGAAATCATTGTTTTTGAGAGAAGCCTGGATGCTCTCAGTTATTCAGGAAAAATGTAATTCTTCATTGTCAGGCAAAAGAGTGTAATGAAAACCACACATAAGAACAAAAACACTTGAGCAGTATTCATGTCAAATACAATGATGGGCCATTACGTTATCACCCATTAAGTGGGTCCAAAGTTGCTAAAAATTCTGGGAGAGAATTATTCTAGAAAGTTTTGGTCAGTTCCACAAACTGGGCTTTCTAAGTCCCAGTGATATTAGCAGGATAGAGACAAGAGACCCGATAGCTAAGGAAGCCTCAAGAGAACATTGGGTGCTTTCCATGAATGTTGTAGTCCTTCTGCCTCCTATTGTCTCCCATTTTTGCCTCAAGTTTTTGAAACTGCTCATCTACCGGTTGCTTCCTCACCTAATTGGAAACTGGAAAACATTCGCACTGTGTTCAAAAAGCACTCTAGAGACCAAATAAATGACTCACTTCATTTGTGAGTGCATAAGGAATATCAGATGTAAGATGTAGATTGTGCCAAGTGCCCTCTCACAAAAATTCAGAAGTTGAGCATTTTAAAGTAAAAATGAGTACCTTCTAATCCACTATATTTCTAAACTAAACTATGATTCGTTAGTTTACCCTATAACTATTCCACTTCAGATATATTTTCCATGAACTTTTAATTCAAATGTCTTTGACCCTCTTGGGTTTTCTTTTTTTTTAAAGCTTAACTTCTCTGCATATGCAAATCAGTGAGAGCGACAAAACAAAACTGTAACAATTTTCAACAGTGGGAAATCTAAATAAATGCCTAGAAGCCAAATTAATCACGCCTCTGTTGGTTTACTTGAGGGGAAAAAAAACCAAGTTGGGGTTATAAGTGAAAGTCTACAAAAGACATTTACTTTTTAAAAATGCATGCAAAGTTTAGGAGCAAGTAGTCCACTATCCACAATTCTGTTGAATTAATTCACAGCCGATTACTTTTTAAAAATCAAAGTGTTTGGTATTAGTGCAGGGAGGCTGGAGCATGGTTTTGCTCTTCCGTAATTTATAATTTTATCTGACTTCTCTCACTAACCCCCTGAAATGAAATGAGTGTTCTAGGACATGGCTCTCCCTATGCACATAAACACTCAAACTACAAGAAAATAATCCTTTAGAGTGAACAATGCTAAACCTTAATGTCTAGGTGTAAAAAAAAGAAAAATCTATGTGCCAGGTGGAATTGCTGCTTTTTGAAAAAAGCATCACGCAACAGAATTTCTTGAAACTGGCATCTATTATATTCTTCACTGTAAAACTGTATTTTACCAATAGAAAATCTGAAACAGAAAGTTTCTCAGCAACACCCCTTCTCATGTCTGACTGAGTGAGCATTTCGAATCAGAGAAAAGCTGCTCTGTTGAAGCTGGCCTAGAGTTGCCAAACTATCGAAGCTGCTTTCTTCCCGGAGGCTAAAAAAAATTAAGCTTATTATTATTTTTTTTTTTAGCTGAATTAACGACTTTCTCCACAAAGCAGTCTAGGCAATTGTGTTGTTTTTCTTTGACGTTCAGACACACGACAGTGTTTTTAACCTGAGATCCAGCAGTTCTCTGCGTGACATACATATATATATATGTACACACACACACATTTATATAAAATCAGGTGCACGTATCAGATTAGTTTATAGATCTATGTATAAACAGGTTAGTACATACACACACATATTCAGTGTTACAAGTATATAAACACTTGAAATAATTAAAAGCAAGTCTTTCAGGAGCAAGTGTTCTGAAAACCTCATGTCACTCTATCCCATAAAGTGCTTCTCAGCACAGACATCTATCACCATCCATCACTCAGTCACGCGCCTCAACAACCGGCTCCCCTTTCTGATTAGAGATCACAGTTGCTTGAGTTGGCTTACAGAGTGTCATCTGTTTGAATGACAGATGTCTTTGCTGGAGTGGCACTCTGCTTGCTCTGGTTTTGTTGATGGAACAAAGATTCCTGAAAGGTCCTGGGCTGCCTCCACATTTAGGAAGAGGCTATAAGCGTCTGGTCCAGGGCAGAGGGGTAGGGGAGGGATGCAAAAGGACCCCTTTTCTCTCCTCATCCTCCCCCCTCCTCCCTTCCAAAGAAGAGCTATCCCTTCCAATTGTGATTACAAAATGTTATTCCTCTGACCAATTCCCGTAGCCACCTTTGTTTACCTGGCACAGAAAGACTTGTATCGATATTTCTCAGTCCCCTCTTCTGTCTTTTGACTACAGATAATAACTCTTTACTCTCCTTCCTCTTAACAAAAGGCTGCGAAGCAACCCGAAACCGAGTCAATACTTATTCAATAAATGTTAACCAGTTCTCACAATGGGACTGATTTCCTGATTATTATTACCACCTTCTTCTTCTTCTACTTTTTCTTTTTTCTTTTTTTTTTCTTTTTTAAATAATCTCTAGCCCCCCGGGTGGGGGGGGGGGACTCTGGCAATATCTGACCAGCCCCAAGGAGCAGTGAGGAAGTTCCTGGCTGGGAAAAGTTTGCAGGACATCCTGCCAGCCGGCTGGGCTGGAATGGGCTCGGATGGCTCGGCCCCTCCGAGATGCGAGGCTCCTCTTTAGCACTTACAAGAAAATTGAATGAACAACAGGGAAAGGGTGAGGTGGGGGGGTGTGGATTGCTCTTCCGGACAACATTGTAGGGCTGAAATGAAATACCTAGACAGACTTACCGAAGAGCTTGCTGGGAGTGTCCTCGCTGTCATTTGATTCCACAGGCACAAGCAGGGACTCATTCAGCTCGCTGTCTGGAGTAGCAGCCTTGTCTTCACCTCTCAACTCCGCATTCATTTCACTCTGCGCTGACAGCAAGGGCTTACTGACTTGTCCAGCTATCATTGGATCCTAGGATGGGGGAAAAGAGTAAAGGGGAGGAAAAAAAAGTGGCAGCTTGAGTGTGCGTGTCCTCTCTCCCTCTCCCTCTCTCTCTCCCCTCTCTCTCTCCCTCTTCCACACACACACTCTCCCTCTCTCCTCTCTCTCTTATCTCTGGCTGCTCCCGCTGTTATTGCTGGCTGCAGTCAAGTGAAGAGCTATTACAGATCCGAGGAGTTCTCCATTACTCCCCACCCTATTAAAGCTCAACTAGCATGTGAGAGATTCAGGAAGCTTCGGAGGGAAGAAGGGGAGGGAAAAAAAAAAAAAAAAAAAAAACTTCTTTGAAAGCCACCTAACCAACACAGCTTTAATTGTGGGATGTGCTTTTTGTGCGAATGTTTTTACACCTTGTTCCGTCTTTAATGCAGTAAGAAAAAAGAAAGTGCTGGGTTTGTACTCCAGCAACACAGTAAAAAGGATGGAGCACCCTATGGAGGAACCACGGGCTATTTTAAGAAGCACTCTCCCTGGGGGAGAAGCAATTAAACCCTATCCCCAGAGCAGAGAAAAGAGATAGGGAGAAAAGAGTCCTCGAAAGGCTTTCAATGGAATAAAAGAGATTTCTCATGTAAATTCCATCAGCACCCTTAGAAGTTGACTTCCCCGCTCCCAGATTTGGGACGGAAGCTGACCCCAAAGCCAACGAACATTTTAAAGCAAACAATACACAGCAAAATAGATTTAAAAATCGGTTCAAAATTTTTTTTGTTAAGGAATTGGAAAAATACTTACAAACTGTGTTCAATAATCCCGATACCTAGAGCATCCTATGCCCAGAGCATTAAAGAGAAAGAAAACAGAAATCACCTCCAAAAAAAAAAAAAAAAAAAAAAAAGCAAACTCCCCCCCACCCACCCACCCACTAATCTGAATCTGCTTTATCTTCAGCTCATTAGGAGGGCATCTTAGGATCAGAAATATTTTCCAAGGATAGCCTGCTATTCCATTTGCAAACTAAGATGCATGATATTGTTTTGGCACACACACCGGACGCAGGAGGAAAAGAAAAGCAAGAAGTGCCCTTTTTGCGTTATCTGGGAGCTATTTATTGCCAAGTTCATGCCTAAGTGGTTCCTGAGCAGGAAACAGGTGACCAGCACAGGAGCAGGTGGGGCGGCATGCTCTCTTGTCCCGTCGCGTTACATTGGTTGCCGTATGCCCGTGGTTATTTTTTTTTAATGTATTCATGCCTGAAAAGTGAATTTGATATGACACATGATAATCTATGAAAATGTTAATCAATACAAATAGTTTAAGCTGTCATCAAATGCAGTTCTTTAGTCAATACTCATACCACTGAAAACAATGTCACTGTCACCAAGGCTTAATGTGCATAGCACTTAAATATTGGACTCTGTGCATCAATGCACTTCTTCTTCAAATACTGTAGGTAAACACATTTTCTCCCCATTTAAGGCTGAAGCACTCAGCACGCATTTAGCTGAGCCGAATCCTCCCTTTTGAATACCTTGATAGGTCCACTGGAGGGCAAAATTAATACTTAATTGAATCTCACAGTCATCAAAATAATCAATACTTTTTTATTATTTATTCTTTACAGTCTGTTGACTGTTTCAAACCTCTGAGGGAATGGTGGAAAGGATTCATGGCTTCGAAACACTGTCATTTAACAAGGTAATTTTCAGTGGGGCATTAGGGGTTGTGAAACATATAATAAAACAAAAATGGTGGCTTATAATAGGAAGAAAGAAAAGAATTATATTTCTGCCATCTAACAAAACAGGATAAATAAAAAAGCAAGTGCAGAGAGAGAGAGAGAGAGCGGGAAAGGAGGGGGATGAGGGAGAGAAAGACTGGCTTTTGAAGGGTTTTATCATATCAAGAGCAGAGCCGGGCTTTCATAATGCTGACATTTCTCATCCTGACAATCCTAAACAAGTGGAAAGGATGAGATCGTAGATATCATCTTTCATCACATTCCCCAGCTTAAGAACCAACATGACAGCTCCTCTCCCCTTTACACTGTTAATTACTAAATAAAATACTACTCTCTGTCAGCATCAGATTATTGCAGATAGCAACCACAAACATTTCTCCATTGTTTCCCCCCTCTGGATCGGTGATACCTACCCTGAACTCTTTAGAAAATAAATTAGGCTTGTCTCACCATATTGTAAATATTTGAAATATAATCAATGTCATCGATGTGGTCGATTCGCAGTATTGTCAGCCTAAATTTGCTGGTGATAGATTAGCATTTCATTGACTGTGTTGGGTCACCGAGATTTGGGAGTGCTTGACGTATGGGGGTGGGGGGATGCAGGCACAGGGGGGAACAGAGACACGAAAATCTCAGATTTTCCCCAAATTCCTTTCCTGTGCATCTAAGGGAATGCGTGTTTGGATTTTCCTGAGTCAGTCAGTGGAGCAGGGTGGGGAGGGAAGGGAACACCCTTTTGGTAAGTGTACTCCTCCCGTGAGGTAAAGGTTCTAGTACATTTCTATTTTACAAGAGGTTGAATACTCAGTCTCTCTAATCTAGAGGAATGGGTTGTGATCTGTGCCTTTGAGACACCCTATCTCTGAGGCCGCACTGCTCATGTGAGTTTTTTATTTTTATTTTTTTAAGATAGCATTCATTGCAAACTTCTGTTTAGAATGGCATTCAAAACCCTCATGATAAACCAAGCCTGGTATCATCGGGACTATCTGGGTAGTCTTCCCAAAAACAAAGACTATTTTCTTCTTGTTTTAATCTGCGAATGGTCAGACTGAACCCTGAAACACACAGAGGAGCCAAAATGCAGCTGCTAAGTTCAAGTGCACTTAAATCTTTAAGATGTTCAGGCTGGCTGGTGTGTGCAAAGCATGTACTGGCAGATGGTATATATTCACTGACCATTAGCTCTTCTTCCTTAAATTACTTTTATGGACCTCATACATGGCTAGGTTCCCAACTAGTGCCTCTCGGGGCCTTGGGCTAAGAAAATTCAGGAGTTTGTCATTCAGGTACTCATTTGATTTTTCATCTTACAAAACACTTTACGTTTTCCGTGATGCAGCTGTAGCCCACATCTATATGTGCATGACATGGTTAAACAGCAAACCCCCAGTGAGGCAGAGAGCAGACAGCTTTTAATCACAGCTGCAGCCATTGGGGGGTCCATTTGAAAATGTGTCACAAGCAGTAACCACTGAGTACAGTCATAAGTGATGAGGGAGTGCCTCTTTCAAGCAGCACTCGGCTTGGAAGTCATTCTCCCCCTGCCAAAAGGGATGGCAGTCTGTAAAAATCCTTTCTGCCAGAGCGAAGAAAGGATGTTCCAACCGGCACCCACATGGGTGCTTGCGGGAATGCAAGAAAGCTGCAATTTTGCCATGCACAAGGACCTCTGTAGCAGCACACAGGAAAAGAAATAGCTAGGACAAGCTAAAAAAAAAAAAATTAGAAGCGGCAAAGACTTCTTGTGTAAAAATCTGAAATTGTCACGACTACAGGCGAAGAAGTGGGGACCTCTCTGCAAATTCTTTTATCAGCGCTCATAGAAGAAAAATGACTGGTTCAATATAGAAGAGTGGCAAGTATGTGCAAGAATAGGATATGGCATGCGCCAGTACAGACCAATACATGATGACTCACAAGCTCATCAGAGACCTAAGAGCCAGACGGTGAGAAAAAAAAGAAGCAGGAGAGGTAGTTTCCATGAGCAGAATCTGAGAAAAAAAGTTTCATCATGTCCTACAATGAAAGGACCACGATCAACATCAGAACCACCCAGCAATTATTTCAATCTCATTCGAGCATTGCCAAAGAACAACAATCAGTCCCGTGCATCGAGTGAAGAGAGGCGTTTCAGATATATGAGATGTCACCCAAACCATGCAAGATATCAGTCCCCATCTGAGGGACACAGGTCTGAGACTCAGAGAAGCCAAGTAACTCGTCCCAAAGCCACACAGCCCACAAGTGGTGAAGCTGTATTTTGAACTTCAGCAGATTCGTCTTTTTATACTGCCCAGTAGGCACTGGATGGAAAACGAAGGCTCATAAACTTAGTAACTCATGGGCTTTCCCAGAACTTGAATTATGTACCCTGAGGGCATTAAACCCTGGATAACTGAATCCCAGAGCATGCTGGGTATAATATCTTCCTCCCTGCAGACTCTAGGAACAAAACACCTCTCTGTCCAACACTGCTCGTGTGAAATCTGTGGTATGATGCAAGGCAGTAGACAGGACATCAGATAGTGTCAAATATCCAGGCTTCCATTCAGGTTCATGGTCTATGGAAACTTAGCAAATCACTTGACCCTCAGTTCTCTCATCTGGAAAATGAAAAGGTTGGAATAAAACAGCATTTCCCAAAGTGCATTAGAGAATACTTGTCCCCAAAGATAGTCTACACAAAAGAGGTTTGCAATCATGCCCACATGGAAAACGCAACAGAAGAGCCTACCAGGAAAGATACCAATTCAGCGCTGCTTACCCTTGCATTTCCTCAAATCATCTGACCGCCAGAACGACTTCACCTTGTAATATCTATTATCTGATGGATCTGGTACTTCTTAAAACTCATTTTAGAGTTTATTCTAAATTTACACTTATATTTACAATACTGCTAATGTAAATTAGAGCTCTGTCAATGATGCTGCAATAACTAGCTGGTAGGTTTCAATGAGTACACATCTGCCCTGAGCTTTCCACATGTTAATAATTTTTACCTAACTAATATTCCTTACGGTTTATTTCTATATGGTTATATACAACTTAGCATATGCTAATTGTATATATTCTCATTGTATACTAATTCCTGATGTCTTTTAATATAATTTTTAAATAAAGATGTCCCAATGCAGCTCAGGTCATGATCTCAAGGTAATGAAATCGAGCCCACGTCCAGCTCCCTGCCCAGCATGGAGTCAGCTTGAGATTCTCTCCCTCCCTCTGCCCCTCTCCAACTTGTTCTCTCTCTCTCTCTCTCCACCCCCCCCCTCAATGTCAAAAA